AAACTTATACCCAATAATTTTTCAGGCCATCTATCCCTAAAATCGTGCGCGCACCCTAGATAAGAGACCCGCAAGTTCGGAATCCTTCGGGTTTGGTTTTAGAGGGAAGTTGAAGTGCTGCGTTGCCAGCCTGTTGGAAAATATGTCATATCGTTTCCAGGAAATTGGATCTGGACGTTGAACTCAATTATTGTGAAAAGCGTTTTCTGCTTCTGCAAGTAAAAAGATTTGATCACAAAGAAGGATTTAGAGGTGCTGAAAGATGTGTATCTACTATTGAATGAGTATACGGCATATTGCCAGAGCTTAAACAATTTTTTTAAATTTTTATTTTACCTCAAACTAAACTTCAGTCTAGCTCAGAATATTTATTTACTTCAATTCTTTAATATACAATACGTTATACATGAAATTATTACTTATGGAAACACATTGCTGATTTAAGGACTTGCACACGGTAGGTAACTGTTTAATTTTCAGCATCCGAAATAATCTTTGGAATTTTTATATCTTAATGGGCTAGTGAATTTTTTTTTTCTCAAACATTTTGACTTGCTTTTGACACTGCTTGAACTGGTGCTTGATATGGCACAGACTTATGTAGGGGAAGTTCCGAAACACATATTTATTCGTTAGGTATTTTATTCTGCTGTAGCCTTCTTCTTCTAATTCAATTTACTTTACGACTGTTTTATAACTGCTTTAATAATTCAATCTGCTCTGGCGTTGGTATCCTATTAATAACGCTGGATCGATAAATAATTATCAGCAAATAATTTCATTCATAACGTTACAATGTATGATTTGCACTTTGTATATTCCAGAAAAAAAAAATTAAAATATAGTTTTTGAACTTTGAGGAAAGGGAATGCGAATACGAGTCAGAATGTTTTCCAACCTTTAGGTAATTCGGTTGGAACATCCTCCTCACGGCAAAAAAACGAACCCCGGAATGGTTTTATAAGTTTTTCAAAATGGGTATATCTCGTGTTCTCTGATGAAAAAAAAAATTGGCAGAATCGAGGCGACCATGTCCAATTTCAATACAGCTTCAACGATTTTTCACATTTCAGGATCGGCCAATGCGCTAATGTTTTGGTTGTGTATTTAGGAGACCTTTTTTTTTTGGTACTTTTCAAGTTCCATTGTCGCGCATCGATATTCTTGCCCTTCCATACCTGGATCTCGTGAGCTGTGTTCATGTTCCTTTGTTGTTCAAAACAAGCGTTTTAGGACTATTTGCACAAATACGCAAATAAATATAAATATCGTTTGTTTGTCCCAATGACATATTTGTTTCCCTATCGAAAGTGATGTTATGTTATTTGCGACGTAATAGCTAGCGCCTAATTGATGTGTGTAATTAGTTCTTAAACCCTTTTTTGCTCCTTCCTTCGAAACTGAGGTTATGTGAGTAACGCCAGCTAGTTCCTAATTGCAAAGAATAAGCAAAAGTTTACCGTCTGCAACATTATCCAAAAAAAGTCGAGGTCGTATCGCATTCGCTGAAAATATGAGCGAAAAGTAGATTCTTTGCAGTTACGCAAAAGACGCACAGACAGTGATAATAGCACAGATAATTATTCCTTTATGTTTCCCTGAGTTAATCTACAAAATCGGACGACTTTTTTGTCAGGAGCCAGGGTAGTAAGGAGCATCAGAACATCATCATCTTGTCGGATGATAATTTCTCAATCATTGTGATACGACTCAATATTCGTAATCGTGTTAATATACCCTAGGCTGAAGTTTTCTTGTGATTTGTGATACGAGTTGGTCTTAATTCGCGAGGTAACGAAGGATGTTTTTTTTTGGGAACTTGTAAAGGCATGTTTTACGAGTTGAATAAAAGAAATCATCAAGTTGATTTTAGGGGTGTTTTTGGTCATGAAGGCGGTATTCCATCAGTGGTAGGGAAGGAAACTTTTCTGGCCCACATTCCCGTGTGAAGCTTCGATAATTATTTTTAAAAACTTATTTCATATGATAACCAAGATAGAAGGTAAAAGGGGGCACGAGATCAGGCAATGCAACTCCTCCTCGTAGATATCAATAAAGCGTACCTCAGCTAAAACTTTGGAAAGCTCTCGAAAAAAAAAAAAAAAACAATATAAGCGTAACGTTGATCATCAAGGCTTCTGGAGAGCTCTAGGTATAGGGTATACGACCAACATAAGCAAAATTAAGAAAAGACAAAAAGTATCCAAAGGGTTCAATAAGCAAAGGCCTCAAACAAGGATATGATATGTTGCCCGTCTCCAGTCAGGTGCCGAAATATAGGAATACCAGAAAATAGTATATTTTAAATACCATGCTTTGCAGACGATTCAATAGTTTTGGCGCAATATTATGAAGACTTAGAATACAGGCTAATCGAAAAATATCATAGGTGGGAGCTGGAGGGAAACATTAAAATAGAATGAGATAAATGTGTATTGGTGGAGAATAGCACCACTTAGTCCTGGAGCACCAGCAATAAGAAATAACCCCCACAGTCAAAAATACAAATATCTTGGTATGCACATAACTAACGATGGTAGCCTGGATGAGGAAACTCAACAGCATACTGTGGGTTGAAACAATATCCATAATAAACAGCATTCATAACAGCTTTGTTAAACGCATTGTTATCACGGAAATGAGGTCTCGCAACCGGAAGAAAAAACCCTGGAGACACTTGAAGCTACAGAAATGTATTTTTGGCCGTGAAATCCCGATTGTCTGAAATAAAAGAACATAAAAACTCTGATATGGTATAGAAACGTTCAAAGAATGCATAAAATCAGAATACCAAAGAGAGTATGTACTGAATTGGACAGTACAGAGTGATCTATTATAAATGTCACCCCCTACTAACTTTATCATTTGACGTTTTTGATAAAAGTGTCAAATACAAAAGTCAAAATTGTCAAAAGTTTTCAACTAAGTCAGTTTTAAGCATACAGGGTGCGTCAAAAAAGTGTAACAGAGCGAAGTTATATTTTTTTTCAAATGGAACATTATGTATATCGTGCGCTTATTTGTTATAGGGAAAAGTGTGAAAGCCGTGTCCAAGGTCTCATGTTGAGGAAAGAAAAATTATGCCATTTAAGCTTTAGAGAGAATTATTTAATGTAAACAGCTTATTGTTTAAATGTTATTCATTAATTTACAAGGCGAAATCGGAGGGTGAAATATTAAAATAAATCCAGATGTCTCAAGTTAGTATTATTATTTAAAAAAATTAACATTAGACATATGAAGTGACTTTGGCGTTTTTCCCTATAATTATTGAAGATAAACATATCAAACCATATATCGTTGAAATCAGGTTCAAGGGGACTTATCAATAAGCCCACAATATACATGGTGTTCCATTTGAATAAATATAACTTCGCTCTGCTACACTTTTTCGACGCGCCCTATATGCTTAAAACGAACCTAGTCAAAAAATTTTGACAATTTCTTAAAACTTTTGTATGTGACACTTCTGTCAAAAACGTCAAATGGAAAAGTTTGGAGGAGGGGACATTAATAATAGAACACCCTGTACAGGAAAGACAGAAAAGAGGTAGACCTGGAACTATAAAGAATGAATTGATAGCGATATCAGAGCACATCTGGATTCAACGATACGAATAGGGAATGGAAATCAGAAGGTGGCAGAGAACGCTGTGAAATAATCGATGTAGATATAGCACTACCTATACTAACTGCGGGAGAGTCAGAATTGGTATAAGTCCTGTCCTCCGGTTAGATCATTCGAAAACTGTGGTACAGCCGCGAAACTGTTAGTCGGGGCTGTAACCTATCGGAAATTGATGTCAAGTTTTTCAACACAGGAGACAAATATTTGTTGTCCAGTTGTTGCCCTCTGTAAAATTTGGACCGATACTTCTATTCGTTAGCGTTCCTATTCAAACGTTGACTTTTTCTAGGCAAGAGTATGGCTAATTAAACCTACGACGTTCCATTTGAACATCATATATAAGGAAATTGAATATAATTTGTGTTAATGGGGTCATTACTAGCTATAGTCATGTATGTCATGACGTATATTCATAAAACTATATACTTTTCAGGTCTCGATAGTGTTTGACCTTGTAGTATTTGACCTGTTCCAGGTATAGTATATACTATTGAGAAATTCCAGTGGGCTGGGTAGTAGTGAGCCAATGGTTCTCCGCAACTGCCAAGCTATAAGTATTCTATTTTAAAATCCTGGATAACCTCAGGAATTTTTTTTTTTGTTACCTAACACCTGGCGATACAACCCATAAGCACTAATTTTTTGTGCAATCGCTGCACAAATCTTACAAGGAGCTTGACTTTGCCCCTGTCGATTTGTTCATTAATGACTTAAATTGATGGCATTTAAAAACAAAAAAATCAACACAATTAATTTTTAAACCTGAAAAAGGGTCAAAAAGTATTTTTTTTCAAGAAATTTGAGTGGATTTTTGAGACATTTCTCGAAGTTTTCTTAGCAAAATCGGTGTATTAACTCAATGGCGTTCTTAATTCTGAACCTGCTTGTTGATTCATCATTTTATCTCTAATGAAACGGTCTAACATGGGCCTAAAAATTGATAATTCAAAATCCTATTGACCGGTTTGAAAAAGGACTGTATCGTGTTTATTCTTAGTTGTGAATACATATTCATAGTGAACATTTTTCACGTTTTCCAGCTCTGTAGAATATAGATACCTCGAAAATGAAAATGCAAAAAAAATAACGCGCGTTCCATTCACTAAAGTAAAAACAACTACATATTATTGTCAACATTTACTACATTCCATTCATTACTTGGCAATATATAATTTACATTTTAAATTATTATTCGTGACGCAATGAGTTTGCTGTGGACAATGAACTTATACAAGGTTTTTTTTACACTACATGATAATAAATCGAGAACGAACTAGGAACGTGACGACCATCTATGGTATAAGAGCTCAACTTCAAGATTTTCCAAGGAAAAATCCGGCAACACTGGGGTTCGCTCATCATAGTTCACGGGGGCCGTTCAAAATTCAAATTAGGTCATTCTAAACAAATTCCTCACGACTTATTCGCAATTAGGAGTTGATAATTACCCCTCTGTGTCGTGCGAGATCCCCTGGACAACGTACGCGATCGGGTCGAATTTTCCGCACGCGTCTAAAATCCTGCACGAAAAACGACATTTTCTTTTCCAGTTTTTTATTCAATGATGGCCTTAGTCGTGCTATCTACTACGAGGCCGCGCGTCGAGAATAAATCACGAAACATTTTTTCATGTTATTTTTGATCAAATCGATGCCTCAACTACATAATCTTAATCAAAAATCGTCGAATCTGGTGAGATTTTCGAGTATTTATAACGTACGGGCCGTTATTGATTAAATAGTGGAGCAGTGCCACTGTTTCAGGCTATATTCCACGCGAAAATTCATTATCTTGGTCGAAAATGCAATTAATTCCGATGATTACGAGGCACAGAAAGTTTCTTAGGAAAATATTTCGGAATAGGTGACTATGATTTTGATCGGGTGAGTTCACTTTTTTCCTTTCATCATGCACATCGAACAAAATTTTAATATAAATAATATAATGCACACATAAATATGATCTGTATAAAATATAGGCTTTCATTTTATTTATTTTTTCAACTGCAAAAATATCCAATTCAAACAATATTTGGCAGCTTTTTTAATAAACATAATATGAATGAAATTCAGGTGTCTCGTAAGCTTTTTAAGAAGCCCTAAACGGGACTTAGTTACGTATTTTAGCCCTTACATAGTTTGAAATTTCACGGTTGGAATTGTTTTCCTAACATTTTTTCTAATAATTGTGAATTTTTATTTTGAAGAGAGGTAAAAATTTCTCAGAGAAAAGCTAATATTCTGCTTGAGCTCTTATGTAGAGTCTTATGGGTGTGAATGTCTTCTGCCAACAGCTTTTCCCAGCTCGCGAAGCTCGAAATTAATTTAAAAAATGAAAAATATTTAAATTAAATACTTAAGTATTTGCTTAATCTTGCTGTGAATCCATCGATTGGACTTTTTCCCGAATCAATAAGTCTTATAAGAGATAAGTCGCAAATAAGGAAATTAACAATTAGACTTTTGATTCCAGAGAACAGAATTTACGTATCATCAGTCGCTCGCAATCGAATTCCTTGAGATTCATCTCGCCGAAGGTTCCAGAAAGCTAGCGAAGAGACGGGTACGAAGACTATTTCGTATTTCTCTTCAATTTGCACAATCGATGATTTTGGTCATATCAAAAGTTTCAGAGAAAATAAACTTAAAAGCCAAAAGGGAACTTTTCTATTCAAATTTTCAAGCAAGCAAATTTTGACTAAAAGCTTGAACTCCTGGGTAAAGATTCCAGCGAGCTGGCGTATGAAGGAGCATATTTTCCAGTTCACTTAACTCTGAGGAGGCTGCATTCCTGAATTCAAAAAGACGGAGACTTCGAGTTTGTATATATTACAGCCCCAACATTTGTCTTTAGTATTGTTGGGATGAGAGGACGCCCATTCCAAAGATTCATTCAGGCGAAGATCGCGACGATTTGCTAGGAATTGAACGGAGAACATTTCATATTTATTTGTTAAACGATTAATTTTTTCTTCAAACTTTCAAGTAAGCAAATTTTGAATTTATAAGTTCCAAATCACTCTGAATCTAGATTTCTACTGGACTTAGGCCGGCCTTACACAGCCAGAATGTCTTTATGAATTCAGAAACGGATTCTGATTCTTTCCTTCCGACCAACACCGCTCAAAAGATGTTGCAAACTACGAGAATACTGGTCACGGAATTTTTAAAATATGTGTGCGGCAATGTGCCGGAATTCAGATCCTAAATTCTGTTCCCGAATTCAGAAAGACATTCCGGCTGTGTAAGGCAGGCCGTAATCGTCTCGCAAAACATCCAAATCTGGAAATCGAAACTATGAGAATATTAAGGTTTAAATTTTCTGGTTTTTGATAGAAGAGAAGAGATCGACGAACGCATTTGACATTTTACCTAACTAGGGATGCAGTATTATCCAACTTAAGAGGACAGAAATTTCGGGTTTGCACTAATTGTAGCCCGACAATTATCCAAAGTTTTCGAAGTGAAGATTGATGCCCGTTTGTATAATTGATCGCCAGCGAATCGCGAAGTCGCTGATTTTGCTCAAATCAATAGTGAAGCCAAAAGTTTACCTCTCATTTTTTTTCAAAAATGTCAAAGTAAATCTTGACTTCATTAGAAGCGATAACTCGCCTAATTCAGTAGATTGGACTTCTACTTTATTCAATTCGTCCATAAACAGCCAAATATCTACATCAAAAATATGAAAATCTATATGTACTATTTATTTTGATAGAGGAAAAATCGATCGCCGCGACTTGCATGAGATTTATCTAGGCGTAGGTCTCGGAGAACTGGCGAAAGAGGGAGCATTTTAATAGTTTCTGATAGAATAGATTGAGACGCGTATGAATTATCGATGGCCAATGGCCCGCCTATTAGTAGGGGAGCCCAAGAGGGGATTTTTGGATTTACTCGAGCGCGTCAGTCTAACATAAGGAAAATACCTTGTACCCTGTTCAGTGCCTATACCATATATGAGTTATATATATAGAGGTGTACGGTTAGGACAGCCGATCAGAATAGTAAAAAAAAACGATCGTCAGATTTACTCGAGCGCGTCAGATTAATGTAAGGTAAGTTAAATGCACGCTAAAAAGTGTGCTTTTCAATAATCTGACGATTTGACGGTGACATAAGGGAGTGGGAGGGTCAAAAACTTGCAAAAAAAAGGTTATTTTGACATTCTCGAGCGCGGTCAAATTTTTTTTTATTTTGAAGGAAATAATTTAAGAATAACGAAAAAAATATAATCTGACGATTCCCACAAGCCGAAATCTTGTTTCAGTTTCCTTTTCACAACTCTCCAAAGTTGAATAGGGGATAGGGGTCGTGTCATACCTCTTTTTAAAAGTTTCATCGATTTCTTTATGGCCCTAGAATTTCGTCTCATTATTTCCATCCGTAACGAAATGACAGCTTGTCAAATTCTTGGAAATAGACTATTGTTTTAGTCGGAGTGGAGGCGATACTTACCTCCCTTAATAAAAATACTTAAAATTGAAGTTTTTTTTTATCAATATTATTGATAAGGTGTATACGTAAATTGTAAATTGCAAGTTTTTTTTAATAAGGGTGGTACCTAAGTACCGTTTTTACCCCTACTAAAACAATAGTCTATTTCCAAGATTTTGACAAGCTGTGATTTCGTTACGGATGAAAATAATAAGACGAAATTCTAGAGCCATGAAGAACTTGACGAGACCTTTATAAAAAGGTATGACACGACCCCTATCCCCTATTCAAATTTGTGGGGTTGTTCTCCCCCTAGCTACGGGGTTGAAGCTACGGGGATGAAAAAAACTGAAAAATATTTCTCTCTCAAATCAAAAATTAGCGTGTCCCAGCGTTGTTCCAGATTTTCATTCCAAATCGCAAAAATCGGAGTTGACTGTTTTCCCTGTATACGTATTCGTGTGGCTTTCGTGTTTCATAATACGCTTAAAATCTGTTTCATAATAAACTTCATTATGATACAGATTTTCATTACGATGCAGATTTTTCAGCCACTGGAATCGAGTTATTTTGAACAATTTTTATATAAAAATAACAGACTCGGAAATCAAGGATAAATGAAATATAAAAAATTCTGCCCCGTTATTTTTCACTACACTATCCCTAATATACCTACATATGTCAAATTTCATCCAAATATGTCCAGCCGTTTTCTCAAGATATAAAAAAACCGTCAGATAAAGACAATCCCTTCACATAATCGTCAGATTTTGGGCTAGCACTACTAGAACATCAAGCTGAACCAGCTGTATAAAAATCTGACGCGCTCGAGTATGTCAATATAGCGATTTTTTTTTTCGTTTTGAACAAGCCGCTACGAGCTTGCGTCACTTCCGAATCGTCAGTTTTTTTAATGGCAGCTTTATTTAGGTTCACTTATCATACCCCTTGCAAATCTGACGCGCACGAATAAATACATTTTTTTTCAAATTTTCAACCCTTCCGGATGGCCACCCCCACTATGCAAACCGTAAGATTAACATACCTCCGTCATCAAAGACACGTGGCGCATATAAACTATCAATATCTGACGCGCTCGATTATATCTATGTGATGATTTTTTTTTACAATTTTGGAGACCTATAGACGCTCCCCCCACCAATGAAAAGGTACACCTTATATAACCTTTTTTTTTCACTATCATCTAATCTTCAAAATCCATCAGGTCCCCACGACGCTCGAGTAAATCCAAATTTAGCATCGTGGGCTCCCCTACTATATCAGATTCATTGTCATTATTTTGCCAAATTGTTGTCTTCGCTCAGACCAATAGTCTCTTAAGTTGAAATGAATAAGCTCCTCAAAAAGTGTCTATGTTTTTAGTCAAATTTTCAAGTACAAAAAAACTTCCCGAATCATTCTTAATCCAGCAGATTCGACTTTTTCTGCTTTTATTGGTAGTACAAATCTCGCTTTCGTGAATCTGGAAATTTTCAGGTTTTGATGAAAGGGAAGTAGTTGACGCCTGTATGGATAGTCAATCGCCAGCAACTTGCCTGAGATGCATTTCGGCGAATGTCTCAGGGATCTGGCGAGGCGAAAAGACCGTACAAATTTTACGTTTTACTTAAATCTGAGGGAACCGTATTTGTACACTTCAAGTTTGCACATATTTTCACCCCAAGTCGACTTGTGTTTTTAGTTCTGGCAGAAGAAATTGGATGCGGGCATCATCTCTTCTCGTGTGCATAGTCGATGGTCACAAATCCTTCAAGATTTTTTTAGGCAATTCGTAAAATAGAACAAGCCTATATTTCACATTTGAGAACGATCTCTGTATGCGTATATCCAGTCGCAACCGACTGCCTATGAGATTTATACCGGCGAAGGTTCCGGCTAGCTGGCGGAAGGACGGAGCATATTTTACATTTTATTTCACTCTTGGGACTCCGCAAGGATCATACTAAAGAGACATCTCTGTTCCAGTTTGCACATATTGCACCCCCAATATTTCTTCGTAGTTATTGTGTGAAGAGATTGTCGTCCAAATACCGATATCGAAGGTCCCAACGATTAGCTGATGTCTCGCCAAATAGCCGATTTCGCTCAGATCCATGGTTTACGAGAAAAGAAACTTCAAAGCCAAAAGTTTTCGAATAAACCAATTTTGACTTTATACGCTTCAAATCATTCTGATTGATGATACTGGGTTTTTTTATGTCCACGAATAATCTTCTTAGTAGGTATTCATTTTGCTTTTGATGTGATTACTTTTTGGGAAATAAATAATACAAAAAATGAACTAGAGATCCGAGTTTGGTGTAATCTACTAAACCTGGAACGTCCCTTATCTGGGTAGTTTTTGTTTTTAGGCTAGCCTTCTTTGCGGAGTTTAGTAAACGCTGAGATAGGGTTGTCCAGAGTGACGTGTTTAAGCTAAAAATAGG